CCCCCTTTCTCTTCGGCGCCCTCTCCTACCTATAAACTAGGGGCGGGCAGTATACTTGATCGTGTATTCTTTTTGTTGTAATGGTGACAGAGTTGGGAATCTCAACTGCGTCGCCATCAACAACGGTGTAAAAGTGGGAGCCACGCGAATGAGGGTTTTTTGTGTACAGAACCCGAATGAGTTGCTGTCTCGGGTGGCAGTGGCCGCAGGGCGAGGCCCAGGCTGACAGTGTCTGCAAGTCCCTGTGTAACATGGACAGTTGTTTATAAGGGATTGTGAAGCGAGTTCAAGTGTTGCATCATTGGCGCGTTGATTACTCGAGGGGTGTCATAAGTGAGGTCACCTACTGCGTGGCGCGCCTAAGTGGCTCTTAGGGACACTCGCGTGCGGGTGTGCGCGAGTGAATGTCCGGCCCAGAGGTTTAAGGTCATCTCGTGGAGACAGTTCACTCTCTCAGACACATGAACTTGCGGCCGCTCACATTGAACAATGAACCATTGTTGGCTGTCGGCCAACAACGTCAGGACAACCTCCAAGGTTCTGATGGCGGTCAGTAAGGCTGGGCTCTTAACATTTCTACCCTTCAAGTTGTCGCCCTGCATCATTTAGTTATTATCTGGAGGCTAACCCATGATCTCTCCTTTTTGAACTTTGTCAGTGAAATCCCTCAGCTTAGTTTTATTCCCGGGTGTCCTCCATCGACCGTACTCTTTCCAGTAACTGAATGGGCGTTCGCTTTTGACCGACTTTTCATTCTTGAGTTCAAATTGCGTTCATTTTTCCTGCTCCCGTTGAAGGTCTTTGGTGCACATATTGCACAGACAATTTAATCCCATGGTTGTTTGCTAACACCTTTATAAATGACCTCAAGATTTTGGATGCAGTTTTGACGCTAATGTCGAGGTGTATACGGTTTTTTTTTAAATTCTGCACATTGAATATGACACATTTTACTTCCAGGATAGTTTCTGTGCCCATCGTGTTGGGGAAAGTGTGTTTTTCAGGCTCTCTTTTGTCCCATGTTCTGCTCGCTATTTTGCAACAAAACCGGACGAGTAAAGCGTGGCGTATGTCATTTAAACGCAACAAAAAGGGGTTACCTTACTTTCCTCCCCGCACATATCGCAATCCCACATGCAGCTTTAATTATTCGGGTATGTTAAATTCGGGTGTTTGTTTTGTCAGCCTTCTTGATGGGGGATAACTTCAAGGAGGACCTCCTGCATTCAAAATTTGTATTGGTCAACGGTTGAAGTCACTTGAATGAGAAACAACCAGCCGGTGTGTTCTTCTATGCAAGTTTCTCCGTTAAGAACTTTCTAAATTTACCGACCTCAGTCAGTAGTGCTTATATGCTTGGTTTTAATGCAATTTCCATATTTTAACTGTGATGTGATCTAACGCAAAAGGTGTACATGCAGGTTTGTGGATTGGTGAACAGCCCCACACAGAGCCGACTATTTTCGTCCCCAAATGCGTCTTCTCTGTTCTCATCTTTTGATGAACGTTCACCTGACTGCTAACAGAACCCATCTGTCCCGCTCTGCCTTGGGTCTCACCAGAAGCCCTGACAGCCGTAGAAGCTGGTACTATAGGCCGATAGAATTGCCGGCAAAGACAAGGGAGCCTGGGATAACCATTTCTTGCTTATTAGTCGTCGTCAGCCAGTCATACCCAGACCCAAGTGGCGTCCTAGCCGAGCCTCGAACTCGCGGCCTCTTCGATCAGAGTCAACCGCCCTAACCATTGAACCACAATCTCGTTCTCTTGTCGGTTTAGGAAGTGCTTATAGTACAGATTATCCCCAACCCTTTTTTCTTACACTTCCCTGGCTTCCCTACTGCTCAGTAAGTAGGACTTCTGTTCGCTGAAAGCGACAATTTTAGAAACCAATAGGTCTTCAAATGGCATGCTATTACTTGACTTTTACCATACACGGAGCTAGTTTTATGAATGCACGTAAAAATATAAAATTAATAAACCTCTCCCGGTGAACGCCCTATCTACTTCTGACGCACGTACGGCAGTTTGCATTTCTTCCAGATGTTGTCTGCAACTCGCGGCCCGTGCTCCTCGCCTAGCATTTAAATTGATCCACTTTAAAAACGTTCAGGCTGCATTTAAAGATAGCAATAACAGTAAGATTTATTGGATCCATGGCATTTAGAGAGAGCTGTTCAGTTGCTGCCTCTCATTGCGTAACGTGAATAACGTAAGAGAAAATACTAATTGAATTCATACAGAAAAAATCGAAATAAACACAAGCTCATAAGAAGTGGCCAAGAAGCTAATCAATAACGTGAGAAAGTTAAAACGCTATGGTCAGCAAAAAACGGGCACAGAAAGAGCCCGTTTTCATTTCCTCGCCCTTTAAGGGTGATCACATACTGAATACCATCAAAAGACGCCTTCTCAGTGCCATTGAAAGGACGTATTATGCTGCCGATCTTATAATTTGCAATCCAACGAAGCCTTTACCAATTCCTC